TTATTCTCTGGAAAGGTGGATTGGAAGTTTGAACAAGGACAGACGTGAGCTCCCCAGGTTGAAACATAACACAAAACCAGAGGCTAGGTGACCTGCCAGAACTGAAAGTGGGCATCTGCACGGCTCCCATTCACGTCATAAATGAGCACAGTGGATGTCCTTATTCTTTTTTATTGTAAACACTCAAAAGTACTGACATATTACAATTAGATAGTTTACAACTGAAATGAGCCCCAAAGTGGTTCCAAAATCTAAAAGCAAAGAAACCAGATGCCTCAACATGCTTCTCTAAAAAGCAAGTTTAAAGGACACAATAAAATATAAAAAGAAAACTTACAAGAATAATTGATGTGCTTCTTAACTGCCTTGAGACAACAAATTCCTCAGAATAATCAGTTCTATATTTAGCTAGCAAGTCAAAAAGAGCTACTGAGCTGGACCAAAGATTTTTTTCTCCTTTATTAAAATTTTTGATTTTATCATAAATGTTATAATATTGGTATCACTGTCCAAGGGTCTCAGAGTTTAATGCATATTTTTAAAAGTTAATTTAACAGAGTAGAACCTCAACTTTCAAATTCCTTTGTTTTAATACTGGAAGAATATCTGTCTATTTTATACTATTTTTTAAAGTTTTTTTTTAATAAGGCACTTTTGGAAAGAATATTTTACATACTTTTTTCAAGTTAACTCTACTTCTTTTTAATAAAAACTACTCCAAAAAGAGTAAATGCAAACAAAGAATTAAAAAATAAATACATTTCCTATTTGAAAAGCAACTTTTTCTTGCATGTTTTATCAGGGAACTCAGAAGACACTTAAATTAATAATTAAAGTGAGCTATATAAAGTGTCTTGCCATCACTATTAAAAAGTCTGATATTAAAAGCTGTGCTTCCACCTAAATACACTGCCTTCCCTGAAATGATGGGTAATGAGGACACAGTTTCCTTAGGTTACTTCTTAGAAGCATCCATAATGCTGGGTTTTTACTGAGGTGTAGAGATTTTCTTTTGTTTGTGTTTTTGGTTAGTGATGGTGGTGTTAGTTGTTCATGGAAGCCACTAAATATGATTATTTACTAATACAAAAGCCTTTAAAATGCAATGAAGTCAGGAAAGATAAAAAGTCAACTTACAACTATAAAATTAACTCTTCTATCACAGTCCTAAATAACTGTACAAAAAGTGAGATTTTGCTATGAAAACAAAAAATCCTTTACTCTTTATTTCTAGCCTTCTTGAAGCTCTCACAAGTTATAAAAAAGTTATATAAAGAAAAGAAAGGATTTTTGACAACATTTTATTAAATGCATAAATAGTTTTAATAAGTATGTAGTGTAATGCAAAATAGCTCACTCGAAAATTAAAATTCCTCAAACTAAGTTAACTCAGCCAATAAATGTATTTGTTTATCATCTGGGTGTCCAGTCATACAGACGTTTTTAAAATATAAAAATGAAAACATAATGTGATGGTTTTTCCTGGTTATAAAACTAATAAGTATACATTAGTCTAAGACGGAAAATACAAAATAGAAAATAGTACTTTTACAGTTTGTTTTCATTCTTATTTCTAAATAATATGTTTATCAATTTGGAGATTTTCTTATTAACTTCCTGTGATTAGAGAGGAGAATTTAGCTCATTACCAGACTCTTCCACACCTCTCAGTTTTTAACAGTTATATCACTAAATTTTTAGTTTCTTAACTATTTATCTTAAAATTTAAGTAATTTCTTTATACAGATTCCTTTTTATTTAAATCTTTTTTTTTTAATTTGGTGTGTAAAATATGCCACACATTCAAAAAGTACATAAAACACAGATGTATTCTGAAGCAGACATTCCTGTACTGGCTACTCAGATCTAGAAGGGCAGACCTAGCCCCCAGAAGCTCAACTTTGTGCTTTTCGTGTCATAGCTCACTCCCTTTTCCTTAAACGTAACCCTCTCCTGACTTTGTGGTATTCGCTCCCTTGCTTTGCTTTATATTTTTGATATCTAAGAATACTACTCAACATTACAGTCTGACCTACCTGAATTTTAAGTAAATGGAATCATGAATTATACATTCTTTTTCATTAGCCTTCTCTAGTTCAATATTATAAGATTCATTTATATTGTAGCATTCAGTTGTAGTTCATTTTCATTGCTATATAGTAGTCCACTGCAGAATTATACCACAATTTATTACTACATTCTCCTGTCAATGAACATTTAGCTTGTTCCTTCATTCAGGCTTGTGAATAAAGCTGTTACAAACTTTCTAATACATGTCTTCTGGTACACATGGGCACATATTTCTGTGGGATATATAAGAGAGGAACTGCTAGGTCACAAGGTGCAGTATGTTTAGTTTTAGTAAATAAAGTCAAACTGCTTTCCAAATTGGTTAAGGTAGTTTCCATTCCCACTGGCACTTGTATGAGAGTTCCTGGTGCTCTGCTTCCTTGGCAATCCTCACTATTTTGTCTTTTTAATTTCAGCCATTCTGATGGGTATACAGAAACATTTCTTTGCATTTTTAATTTGCATTTCTCTGATAAATAATGAGATTGGGTAACTTATCATATGTTTATTGACCAAGTAGATATTTCCTATTTTGAAATGGCTGTTGAGTCTATTTGTCCATTCTTCCATTGAATTGTACTTTCTTACTGTGTTCCAAATATCTCCTAATCTGAAGCTTGCTTTTTTACTATTTTAATTATTTTAAATTTTCTTAATTTTACTGTAATCTTTATTTTTAAGGTTGGTGCTTCTTAATGTTCAGTATGTTTAAAAGTCATTCTCTCATGTTGAGATCACGAATCTCCTCTTCTGTATTATCCTCTAAAGCTTTATTGGTTTGCCTTTCATAGTTAAAGGATCTAGAATTCACCTAAAATTGATATTTTTGTGTATGGCATGAGTGGGTTAAGTTGGGGGGGGGTTTCCAGATAGAGCATACTCTTTTCCAGTGCTCAGCAGAGTCATTTTTGTCATCATCATTTAATTTTTTCATTAATTTTCAACAGATTCTCTTGACTCTTTACTGTGTAAAATGAGGGTGTTTGCACACTTACCATTGCACCCCCCTCCCCTGCCTTCCTTTCATCTCCCAACATCTGTCAGCTAGAGCTTTACTTTAACGTCATCAAAGCAGAGTGTTTTCATTCTTTTCTCAATCAAGATTAACTCCTCCATGCTTTGTGCACAGGTTTATTTTAAAAGCTGATGACCAATAAACAAATTTTATATTATTATGACTATTCATCACATTATTCATCACAGAGCCAAAAAGTGCTAAATACATCCTATTGCCTATGTTTCTGATGTCTCAATCCTTGTGTCGGTCAAAGGAAAATACACAAGTACCAAGATTAGAGTCTCCCCCTCTTACATTTTACCAATTGTTGAAAAATAATTACATGTTAAATTGTTTCATATTTGGAACATGATGTTCTTGTAAAGTGTTTTGATCCACCTAGAGCTTCTGGTTATTCTTTTTTACCTTCTTAAGGATTCATAGGCTTTTCCCACCATATCCTAACATCTTGCAACTTCTTATTAACAGCAGCTATTATCTAAAAGAGATTTCTTTTCCTTGAAAATATTTTTCTGTAGGCCTGCCAATCTCTGTCCTAAAGTAGACCAATTTCCTTCCTTAGCCTACTACATAATTGCCATCTTGGATGCTGTTTCATTATTCTCCTAAACGAGCTCTGTTTGTGTATCCCTGAAAAGAGGCAGACCAACTGCAAGGTTAGAGGGAACACAACCCACACAAGACCACCCTCACCTGTGACATCAATTGCAAGTTTGAGGGGTTTTCCAAACCATGCTCAGTTTGATAATTCACTAGAAGGATTCACAGAACTCACTGAAAGCTATTATATTCATGGTTAAGAGTTATTACAAAGAAAGAATACAGATTAAAGTCAGCCGAGGGAAGAAGTACATAGAGTGGAATCTGGGGAAATACTGAATGCAGAGCTTTCACTGTCCTTTCCCCAAAGAGTCAAGACATATTATTTCTCCAGTATTGATTTATGACAATAAGCACAGACATTGCCAACCAGGAAAGCTCACTGGAGCCTCAGAATTTAGTTTTTACTGAGGCTCCATTACACAGGCATGACTGACTGCCCTCAGAGCCAAGTTTAATCTCCAGTTTCTAGGCCTTCAAAGCGTGGCTCAAAGCCCTACTCTGAATCACACTGTATTGTTTGCTGGCCCAAAGTTCCTAGGAAGACAAAATCACTCCTATCAGGCATGACATTCCAGGAGCTTAGAGATTACCTCCCCGAAAGCTGACTGGCAAAGGCCAGACCTCTTGTGGGGCAAGGTTAAATTATTTATTAAACAATTCCCCATCTTCCTTTTTCTTGGTTTCCACCCTCTTTTCACTGAAGTATATCCTCAAGTAAAGGTTCACAGACGTAAATTCCCACTTTAAATCTTTAACGTTCTGAGAGTTCACAATGATATCTCTAAATATGGGCCTTTTTAAAATTTATCTGATTTGGTTCTTATGGACCCTCTAAATTTAAAGATCTCCCTTTAACTCTGGAGATGTTATTTCTTTAACAATTCCTTCCCTCTATCATGAGTGCTTTGCCTTTCTTTAAATTAGCTCCGTGAGAGAGGAATAAACAAATGTGCTCACCTTGACATCATGAACTAGAAGCTACTCTTATGAATTTAAAAATTATTTTAAAAACAGGTGGCTTTTATTTTCACAGTATGTTTCTTGTCACTACATCAGTGGCAATGACACCCACCAATGAATGCATTCCCTGAACCTCAATTACACAATTCCAGGTCAGGAGCATCTTAGGAGAGGTATACACACAGAGTCTTATATGACACTTCCTCCTTTATCATATTAACATATATAAGATATCAAGTTAAACACATTAAAAAGAAAAAAGGACCTAAGTGACTTTATTCTTAAAATATATTTTCAAAGCTGTTCCTATCTAAAGAGAAACAATAGAAACAAAGTATAAAACTCTTACCAGGTTCCAGATGGCAGCTGCGGTGTAGAAGAACGTTGGCTTTGGCATCAGAAGACTTGGGGTTGAGGCCTGGCTCTGCTTCTGTTGCCTTGTAAGTTTGATTGAGTTACTAAATTTTCTGAGTCATAAGTTTCTCATCTATAAGCAGAATGATAACACATGTGTCTCACTGCTGTTGTGAGGCTGAAAACAAACAGACGTGAAAGAACTTTATAGATTACAAGTAAATAGAAAATAAAATACATTCTCCAAATGAATACATTCTCCAGGGGAGGTTTTGTGCAGAACTCAACAGAATCCTTCAGGGGGAAAAAAAATTTTTACATCTCTGCGATCATCTTTCCTCAGACAAGGAAAAAAACACACAAAAATCACCTGAATTTCCCATGGGTTCCACCAACAAGATAAACACACTCACCAAAGATGATCATAAACATAATCATAGACTCTACAAAAGGTATATAAAAAACAAGTCCCTAATTCTGAGCTTATTCATTCTCCTCCAGCAAACATACAATGAATGCCAATGATAGTCAAAGCCCTTGAAATAAATTTTTAAAATATTAGACACAGTACTTTCACTCACTCAGGAAGTTTCCTGTTTGTAGGGGAGATCATGTATGTTCCCTTATATCTACAATATTAGGTATAACAAATTGCACATGACTGATACAAAGTAATGAGAAATACTAGAGCTGAGCCTTAAAAAATTAGTAGGTGACATTTCATTTCCCACCTATCAGAGTCACAAAATTCCACTGAATTTTATCAGAAAATGAAAAGACTTATGCACAAGTCTATTCACTGCAGCCCTTAAGCATAATATCATAAACTAGAGGGGAGGGGGGACCAAATGTCCTTCAGTAAAAAAACTTGTTAAGTAAAACATGGTCTACCCACAAAAGGGAATACCACACTGCCAATTTTTTAAAAGGGGGTGATGGGGAAGGTCTCCAGTACATGATCTCCAAAATGCTGTTAAATGAGGAAAGCTCAATGAAGATATGCATTAGAATGGTTACCATTTAGAAAAGGGGGTATATAAGCAAATACATGTATTTACTTGTTAAAAAATGGGGCAGGAGAAAATAAGAGTCTTTTCAACATATGTTGCTGGAAATACTGTATATCTACATCCAAAATAATAAAGTTGACCCTTCTTACAAAATATGACCATACACAAAAATTAACATGGCTCACAGACCAAAATACAAGACCTAAAACTATGAAACTCTTAGACGCTCTTAGAAGAAAACATAGGAGAAAATCTCCATCACAAGGAAGAAAAAAAAAAAAGAGTAGGTTTTCAATTGGCTGAAATAAGTGGAAGAACATTCCAAGAAAAGGTAACTAAGCTCACCAAGGTAACAGATATGGGAGAGTATGGCTTTGTTCTGGAAATTGCGAAAAACCTAGGTTGTCTGAAGAATGGGTTCCATGTAGAGGATATGAATAATAGGCCATAAATGGAGAAAGCCTCTTAGGCTAAATGCATGTGGACTTTATTCCATAGGCAATAAGGTAGCCTTGGAAGGTTTTTGTTATCAAGGGGGTACATAATAAAATAGAACTTAATAACAAAAATCTTTTACTTTTGTACTGATCTTTACTCTTTACAAATTGCTTTTACATGCATGATCTCATTTGACCCCCATCACAATTCTGTGGTGTTATTGCTACTTGTCGGTAGAAGAAGCTTTACATGAGACCTAGAGTCCAGGTCTTCTGATTCCAAATCCAATCTGCTTCAAGTCTACTTCCGTCGCAGGAAGATTGATGGGTTAAAGTTGTGTACAAAATACACTAAATGAGAAGATCTTGAAGGTAGTAGGGCAGATTCTGAAGAACAAAGGAACTGCAGAGACAGAGTCAGAGTTTAGGAGCCAGCATTTAGCAAAGTAATCAAAAACAAATGAGCAGGGTTCTTCTCTTCTAGAAAGTTTGACTCTGCCCTGAAGGCAGTGGTAACAGGATTCTAGAGATGATCTCATATTTCTTTAAAATTCCCCCATGGTACTGACTGCTGTCCTAGGCACAGAGTGTTGCCAAATCGGTGCCTGGGGCATTCATTCCCTTCAGCCAGGCACTGACACTACATGCCAAGGACAGGGAGAACCTTACTCCCTACAGTGTTCTGAACTGTACTAAATGCTTCCAATTGCCTAGTGCAGACTCAGACCACATCACTTCAACAGAAGGAAATTAGATGCCTCTACCAACGTGACAAAGACATGTTTGTTTAAATGACAACTGTAGGATTCCCCCAAGGACATGTGGGCCATGTGAAAAGTAGGAGCACAGAGCTCACAGCTGTTCATTTCAGCAGTCAACAGTGGACAACTGGTAAGAAACCAAACAATTTTGTATTGTTTAAGTCTTAAATGCTGCTGTTTTTGTAATAGCATCCCTGCTAATGATGCAAATTTGATCTCTCAAAATAAGGATTTTTCAAGACAGGTCTTGCATATGTTAACAGAGACTTGCATTTAATTCAACTTTAACATTGAATTATAAAGTTGTAAAGATGAAAACTTTCTAACATTGTATTACCTTTAAGCTACCTTCTAAAATAGTTATATAGTTAAACTCCAGCTTTGTTTTAAGGCCCCCTCCAGGTTGTCTTGGAGTAAGCTGAGCCTTCTCAAGATTCTACTGCTGACTCACTCGTCTAGTTCAGACCCTTTTAGGTTCCTGAGAAATGCCTTCAGAGCCTTTTAGGTTCCTGAGAAATGCCGACAGAAGTGATAAAGCGAAGGATTAACATCCTCTACTCTAATTCTTAAGTAGAGGTTTTCTTTTTTCTGTTTTCTGGTTTTTGTTTATTACACTTCAGCTTGAGAAATCCTCACTTTAGAAGAAATCTCTTGTTGAAGCCCACTATATAAAACCACTAAAAGCAGAGCTATAGGTGAAGGAGACAGGAAAAGAGGTGGGGGAGAAATGAAGACCTGATGATTCATCCTTCCTGGTGCCTGAAGTCTTTTGCTGGACACAAAATAAAACTATTGACCTTGAAGATTTCTGAGTTAACTTAGAATTTGATGCATGATCTTCAGTATGTAAGAGTATAAAAACACTGAGTTAGACCGACCTCCCAGGTGTGAACAATTGGCCACTTCACTCTTCATTCTTTCCACAATTATTCACTGAATATTTATGAGGTGCCAGCCACTGTTCTTGGCACTGGGGATATAGCAGGAAACAAAAGAGACTAATTTTCTGCTTTCGTGGAGCTTACATGATAGTAGAAGAAGACACTTAATAAAGTATATATGTATTTGATGTAATAAGAAAATGGATATGAAGAAAAGTAAAACAGGGTAAAGGAATATTAAAAGGGCATACATGTGTGAGTGTGCATGCTGTGTGTATGTGTGTGTGTGTGTGCGTGCGTGCACGCGCCATTTTATATGCTGGGTTGAGAAAGGCTCCCTTGTGAAGGTGACCTTTAATCAAAGAGTCAATAATGTGAAATACCTAGAACAAGAGCTGTTCAGGTGGAAGTAAGTGGAAAAGCGCTGAAGCAAGTGGGTGCTAGGCACATTTGAGGAAGAGCAAGGAAGCCAGAGTGGCAGAAGCAAAGTGATGAAGAGTGAGAGCAGTAGAAGATGTGGTGAGGCAGACATCAGTATCTCTGGGGAGGAGGCCGGATCACCCGAAACATTGCTTTGCAGGGGCCAGCTGCAAGTCATGGAGTAGATGTTCAGTAAGTATGTGTTGGAGAGAATCAGAAACACCACTGTTTTAGTAAAAAGAACACATTAAGGAGTATGTATAATTTTGCAGTTCTTCCACGAGACAGTCTGAGGTGGAAATTTTGTAATGTATTTGTCTGATTTGAGTTGAGAACATCTCCCCCGCCCTAGTGACTCCTGCCTTGGGGACAAAATGCCCTCAGTGTTTTCAGGGCCACATCTCCCACCACCTCCCCAAAGTCAGTTTCTGATGTTCTTATTGCTCAGATTACACAGGATGGCATGTTCCACGGAAAATGATGACTAGTGAAGGATGAACACCATTAATAGATTAGATTCCCTGGCACATAAAGATCACTTTCTGTTTTAGATCAGAAAAGAAACAAATTGTTGCAAAATCAATGACCTTGCACTGTAGCCCTGAGCTTCACAGCACTTCTGCCCAGCGTAGTTTTGGTCAACAATGTCACTGCCTCAGCCACTTAGTGCTGCGTTAAGCACAATTCCTGAGCTAAACTGATACTATGAAGTAAAAATTGGTTGACTGTTTTATTTGTATTTCTGGGAGCAGGCCACTTTTAGCATAATTTCTTAGGCGGAGTACTTTTCAAATGAGGTTTTATGGTAGGCTGTATAAAATCTTACCAGATAGGCCTATGTCTTGTGTTTCCTTTTTAAGGATAGCCACCATCCCATTGTTCCCTCACTTGGCACCCGTCATCCACCAAGAAACATGGCTGATTTCTGGTTTTCTGATCCCCTGTGCAATTTGTGACTGAGTTAACGAATAACAACAAAAGTCATCCTATTTGCAATTCTAAATATATCAAGATTTCCAGACTGTTCAAGAAAAAAAATGCAATCTTTGCTTTTAAATTTTTTTCTTAAAGGGACTTTTCATCTTGGTTGTAATGAGGTCAATTCCAGATCACAAACCCCAAAAAAAGCCCTCAATCTGTGTAACATAGATAATGAAGTAACCTAGACTGTTGACTGCAGGTGAAACAAGGAAGAGTAGAATGTTTTGCAAGCCTATTATGAGTAGAAGCAGGACATTACATTTAAATTGCATGACGTTAAACGTCAAAAAGGATAGGAACTTTTGCTGTCAGAGAGTTTGTTTGGTTTAGTTCCTCTTCAGCATCCTTTGTGCCCTGATGTATTAGACTACAACCCAAGCGGTAGGCCTTTTATCCTTTTTATCTTTTCCTTTCTCACAGTGGGTACCCTACTGACCCTGTGAAGAGGGAAGTCAGTAGTTTTGGCCCCACCATTTATATAGCTGGGTTTATGAAAAGATACTCAGTGCCAGTAGTTCACAATGAAGGTCCTACCAAATTCCTTGATGACCGTGAGGCAGGGCGACCACCCACCTGCTTCAGGTATGTTCTCCTCTACCTTTCCCCAAAATAAACAACTTGCACTAGGGTGACCAATCATCTAGGATTGCCCACAGCTGAGGACGTGGGACTTCCAGGGATAAAACTACGGAAGTCCCAGGCAAAGCAGAGGAGCTGCTCACCCTAACTTAGACCCCCATGAAGTATGAAGCAGCTCTTCACTGGGAGCTGTGGCCATTGGGCCTTGGTGGCGCAGTGGGGCTCTTACCACACCCAGGGTAAGGCCTTACTGTCTAGGCCTTGGAGGTACACCATGTAGAAGTCCTGTCATTTGTCCAGTACCAGGGTAACCTCTGACATTTTCCATATTAGCAACATGGGGATAATAATTGTGACTACTTCCTAATTCTTCTATGACAATTAATTAAGTTAATATTAATACGTATAAAGTGCTTACAGCAAGGCCTGACACTTAATCAGTGCCTAACAAACATCACCTACTGTCACTGTGATAGTTTATGGATGGGAGAGAAATGATACAGGACTTCACACTGAAGTTGATTCTCTGCTAGTGAATCTTAAACATCATATGTATGTTGCCTTTTAAGAAGTGGAAAAGAAAGAAAGAGGAAGGAAGGGAAGGAGGAAGGGAAGAAGGGAGAGAAGGAGAGAGAGGAAAAGAAAGAAGGAAGGAAGGAAAGAAGGAAGGAAGAAAGACAGGCAGGAAAAAGGGAGAGATTATGGTAAGTCAGTAATATTTGTCTACTTTCTTAAAAAGTAATTCTACCCACAAGGACTGACATTTAAGCACGGTCAAAGCCAATACGAAAAATGTTTTTAACATGCAAATAACTGGTATCAATACTTGGCATTTTCAGAATAAGTTACTACTCTCATCAACAGTTTATCATAGTAAAGAAATGCAAACAATCTGAATATCCACCAGCAGTTATATCCAAACTCCAATCTTGTTAATTGAATTTGTTAAAATGAGTAAGGTCCATTTTTATGCACTGACATGGAAAAGATCCCAAAGCATACTGTTGCAGAACAATATACATAGCCCAATTCCATGTAAACAAATCACAAAGATCTCTCTCTCTCTCTCTCTCTCTATATATATATATATAAATATATATAATGTATGTGTAAGCACATGAATGCATAAAATCAGGTTTGAAAGTATAGAAACACAAGTACCTAAAGATTATCTTTGAGAAGGAGTTGGGTGCGGCTTGAACAAGAAACTCACTTTTATCTTAAAATCATGTGTTGCCTGAAATTTATCCAAAGAGAATATACTCATATATTATTAATACTTGTAATTTTAAAAATAGCATAATAAAACAGAATAGAATTTCATCCCCAAATTCTTTTATTAGTGTTTTCTCCTTCCTCCTTTTCCTTCATCCCCAATATCCTCCCAAAATAGGAAAACAAATTTGCTGGAAATGGCAAAGTATCCAGGTTACTGTAGATGAGGTATATAGCATATAATTCACTAACTGATAATGAGAGTTGACAATAGTAAAGAGTCCACAAAATTATACCCAAGTACAAATCAAAAGAAATAGCCATCTTGTTGAACATGTTTAGCAATAAATTCTAAAATATTTTGATAGCTGTTTTTAACCAAGGGCATCTTCATAGTCACAGAATACATTTAAATGGAAGACTAAAGTTACATTTTTCTGAGGTTTCTGCAAACTAGATAATGGTAATAATATGGATTAAATCTTGCATCACGATTTTAGGGAAGCTGGGATGGGTTCCCTTGTGAGCACATCCTTTCTCAGTATTAGCAGCATCAGCAAAGAACTCAAATGCTGAAGATGCTGTCTAGAGGACTTCTATGCTAGGTAGAGAGCTGACAAGCACCCCCCAAAATTTTGTAACTATGATTTGTTTAGGAAATGCATTGCTGCATTGAAAGAACTCGGGTTTTGAACTCAGACTGACCTGGGTTTGACTTCACTCTTCAATAACAACTATATGATTTGGGATATATTACCTACCTCTATATACCTCTGCCCTGCCTCTGTCAAAAAGCATAATCATCACTACTTCAAAGGATTACTGTAAAAATTAGAAATAAGATACATAAAAGTTCAAAGTAAGCACAAAATAAATACCAAATATTATATGCCTGGTTTATATTGTTCCTTTAATCCTTATGCAGCTATAATGTCATTTTAGTTTCAATTTTTTAAAATAATTTATTATGGGGGGGTATAGCTCAGTGGTAGAGCACTTGCTTAGCATGCTTAAGGCCCTGGATTCAATCCCCAGTACCTCCATTAAAATTTTTTTTAAAAAGTAAAAAAAAAAAAACAAAAAACAATAATTTATTATGAATTTCTGGCTTTTCACCCTCTTTAAAAATTCTAACTATAGGGTCAAGTGATTACAAAAGAATAAACCTTTTAAAAACACTTAATGAATAGAAATTTACTCATTCAAATATACACTCAAAGAAATCATGGGGTCTTAAATTGCCAAGGGCTGAAGTCATCTGGTTGAATCTAACTCCTATTGCATGAAACCTTTATTTCATTCTCTCCTCCTAAAAGCTACTCAAAAAGGAGCATGCTTCTTAACCTCTTATTCAGAAAAAAATTGGGGAAGTCTTTTTGAAAGGAAGAGCTGGACTGAAGTGAAGGCACAAATATACCTGGGGTATCAATACTACCTCTTTCTACCAGAACCACAGCACTTATCTATGGAAGTGGGTGAAATCACTCTACGAGTATATATAGTAGAGAAACAGAGTGCTCAGGTCTTAGACGTAAGGAATGCCACATTTAGAAGCTGGATAGAAGTCAGATCCAGCCTACAAGACTTAGGAGTTGCCTGTTAGGTTGGAAGAAATTATCTAAGCAGAATTTCTATTAAGTTCACAATTCTGGGTGAGATGAGTGATATACAAGATGTATAAGGGTGGTTCACATTATAATGTGAGATATAATTGTAATATAAGTTAAAAGAGGAAATGTTCCTGGAGAGGCAACAGAACACTTAATCAAGGACAGAAGGTTAGAATTAAATTCCCAGCTCTGATTCTTACTAGAAGTGTGACGCTGGACAGCACACATGAATTGCCTTGAGCCTTAGTCAACTCCTCTGCAAAGCAGAGATGATAATATCTATCTCAATGGGCTGTGGTGAGAATTTATTCAATTAATGCATTTGAATACACACTAAATGAAAAAAAAAAGACAGAAACATAAGGCACTTGCCTTGGCTCTCTGCCTAGAACTTGTATTCCTCCAGGACCAGGGCCTACCCTACCCATTTCTCTTGCCAGTCTTCTGATTGAATCCCAACTTCCCCAATGGTCTCCATCCACTTTCTGTGATTTTTTTCTGTTGCCTAACAGCTGGGGCCTTGGTGCCCATTGCCACTTACACAGCTGTATACCATTCCAGTTGCTGTGGGGCTCTTGCCAAATCACTGACCCCATTCTTGATGGTCTTTCTGGCCCACCCACCACCCATGAGCCCAAGTTATGATATGCTCCAAAGTACTGCTTTAGATCCAATCCCAGATCTAACTACTGTGATTCAAAATAACATCTTTACCAAGTTTGTTTGTTCAGTCACAGAGAATTCTTAATCTCTGTGACCAAAGTACCTTGTGTCTTAAAAAGGGGATCGACAGCAATACATATATGTATCTATAAATTCATCAATTTCCTTCACCTTGAGTTCTTGATTTACATAAGTAATAAAGGCCTTTGTTCACTTAAATAGTCATAAAAATCGCTTATGGCTATGTTGACAATATCTGGATTGTGTCTAAGTCTTCTCTAATCAGGTAAGCCATCAATGCCATTTACATGAAGATTCCTTTGAAGCTATTTTCATTGAAAATAAGTATGGCTTTAAAATTAGCAAAAGGTCTACAATAATTAAATTGCTACTTCATCAATTCCCTAGGGGAAAAAAAATTGAGCCAACCACTTGTTGAGCTAGGTCTAAAAACAATCCATTATTGGATTCACTGATATTTTAATTATTATCTAATTATTAATTATTAAAGAGAAAGAAATTCAATTAAATAATAGTATATACTACTCTTAACTTTTAATTAGTTGATTTGCTTTAAATATAATATTATAATCCTTTCAGTCAATCATTTTGAAAATAATAAAAATAGAACTGAGTCTCCTTAACTTGATCTTTGAGATTTGGGAAGGAGCTGAGAAAGGAAAGGAAAGAAGGGTACTATGTGAATACCAAATGACATCCAATGGTTTTTAAAAACCCAGCAAAGACTTTGTGCTTCACCAAGTCCTACTCAAGCACAGAGAAAAAAGTGAAGTTCCATGACAGAGTATCACAATAATGCCACACAAGCAATTTTTTTTCCATAATGGAAAGCTACACGTCAAACTAAAATAACTCCAGGTCTTTTATATTTTACAGGGGACTAATAACTTTTATCACTATTTTTAAAAAATGTCAGTTTTTACTTTCTAAGAAATTTAATTAATTTGCTCTTTGCCAATCATCAAACCCCTGTGTGGCCCATCTTTAGACTGCAAAGAAAAATGTAAGTGAACCTACAATGACTCTACTTGAATTGTTAAGCAGAATACAAACTTTTCCGACTTTCTCATATGACAGGCCAATTTGCCATAGTCAGCTGCTTTAAGGAAATAAGCCTGGTTCCACTGGTGATGGGGATGACTGGTGATGGAATTCAAACCTGGGTGAGTTTTCAGCATCCACTGTCATTGGTTATATGCTCCTGTAACATTCTGTACCTTTCTTTCAAAATATTTACCAGTTCTAATTATATATTTATTAGATAATATTGTTAATGTCTTTCTCTCAAACACGATAGTAAGACTCATGAGAACAAGGGTAAGATCAATTTTTCCCACCAATGTATATTCCAGCACCCAGTCTGGTGGGTACCTAGAATGCAGTAAGTGTGCAGAATATTTTTATGGAAAAAAATGAATAAAGAACAGTTGAGTTAGCATTATTTTCAAGGAGTACTTAGGAATGGATCAGTACCAGTCACGTCGTATGTCTCATGTAATGAAATTCTACAAAAGGTATTTTTTGAACAATCAGTTACCACATTTCGAGCACGCCCCCACTTTCCCTGTTATCTTTTTTGCAGAGGCTGGTTTCAATCTTTTCTGATGACCATAGACTGACAGCTCTTTCACATACTATTTTGAGAGTATTCTATTATATATTTTCTATTTTACAGTTTTTGTCCTTACAGTCCAACTGTAAATTCAGGATGCCAAAAAAATAAAAAGTCCTTAAAAGCACATCCTCTAATCTGTTACACTGGCAATATGAGAAAAAAATATTTTTTAACCTTTTCCCTTCACACTGTGGAGTAAGTCAATGGTTCTCAAACTTGAGTGTGCATCCGAATCACAGAGGACTTGTTCAAACAGATCACTGGACAAAGTCTCAGAGTTTGTGATTCTACTGGTCTGGTGTAGGGGCCTGAGAATTTGTATTTCTAACAACTGCCCAGGTGATGCTGATGCTGCTAATCTGGGGACCACACTTTAAGAATGACTAGGGTAGTTGCTGGAAGGGTAACTTGCTAAAACCAGGTTCAATATCAGGTAAACTCCTGGTTGAAATAGTTTCATAGAGAAAATTATAATGGTTAGTAGAGAAGATGAATTGTCAGAAGGTGCTACATAACATATATTATGCAATACATTATTAAATAACCAGCTTGCCTTATTACTTAGTTGGGTTTCTTTTTTTCTTTCAATTATGCTTCTTCAGGAATTATCTTGTTTCAGTTTTTAATAACTAAAATTGCGTGTGTGTGGTGAGGAGGGAAATCTCAAGTTATTTTTGTCCTCATTAAGGACCATTTCCCTCCCTTCCCTCTCCTTCTGTGCTTCACTTATCTTTTTAATTATTTACTTATCTATAAAAACAGATATATAGTACCTATCTCACTGAACTGCTGTGCGGATTAAATGAGACCCTAAGTGGAAAATACTTAGCCCTGAAAATGGTCTGTAAATGCTACCTGCTATGTTTTTACTAATTTGTCTACTCAAGAAATTCCAATAGATCTGGAACCAGTGTCTGAAAACTACTTGTATCTCTAACATATTAACTGCCTACAGCAATAACTCTTGTAAAGATGTTCAGTTA